ATGGAAAAACACCTTTATAGTCAAAGATTTTATAAGTAAAAAATAGGTAGATATATGCGTGTCAGGCTAAATGTTGACTAATAAGCCAATTGGAGCTCAATCTCGCGTTGCACTCTGAAGTTGCTGAGTCTCCGAAACGTCATAGACAATCGGAGAAAATACATAACGTATCTACTTTCTTTTTATATAAAATTTTTTGATGACGGTTATAATAATAATGTGCAGTCAACAGCACATCAAACTGAAGAGGTTGTAAACCGCTAATGTCTACATAATTTATTTCATAAGTAAAGTCGAAAGAAAAATAAAGGCTGTAACAAGAAAAGGGTATAAAAAACAGGCACAACGCTACAAAACACTCCCTACTTAAAAACGTGAGACAGACAGAAGGATCAAAATTAGACGAGCAGTTCTGCTCGCTTCAGTGATTGAGCAGAGAGTGACGAGGGAACGAAACAAAATGAGAATGAATTAAAGGAAGGAATTAAAGAACGTTTCCAAATTTGAAAACAAGTGGCAAGGATACAAATTGTCTTTTTTAATAATAAGGTGATAAAAAGGTGGAATGACGATGGAAGGATATCACATCGTCACAAAACTGTACGCTTTCGTTCGGATATCGCCTTTAGTGCAACGGAACAAGATCTGTCAATTTAAAGCTTGATGTGTCTCAAATTATGGAACTTCGTGTGTTATGAGTATCAGAGCTATGGAATTCACACCCATAACATCCAGGCCAGATGCCAGAAAAGAAGCAAGAAAAGTTCAAATCTCAAATTAGTTATACTTAGAGAATAACTTACGTCATTTCATTTCACGTCATTTCATTACGAGACTATTTAAATAATAAAGTTTAGTGTAAGTTTAAAAGCTATTAACTGTAAAAGAGACAGTTTTAATCACACATCAAAGCTGTTCCACAGAGTCGGCATCCGAGTTTATACTTCAATTGAAGTTCAATATAGGCTGGATGTACGCAAAAGCACCATAAATGGGTTATTTATTGCTACCGTAAACCTCAGCAACGGTCGCTCTGTCGCGCTACGACCGGAATAAAATTAAAATACATTTTTTGTGAGCGTTACGTGTGAAGAGACACCTAAACATTATGCAATTGTTTGTTAAAATCTCTACATTACGCGTTCAAATTTTTCACAATAATAAATGTGACAGTGTTTATTACTTAACCTACAGCTGACTGTTTATGTCTATGGTATAGGTAGCGACTTTGTAGCTACGTATTGTTTAAAGTGATATTAACATCCGTTCGAGAATGAAATAGGTGCTACGGCGTAGAAGTGCGGATACAAGTCTGCTACACCGATACTATCCCATGAGTTAGTTAATTTTTAGAACAGAGCTTGGAATATAAAAAGCAATCGATCTGACCTCGTAAGATGTCAAAAAGAAGAACCATGTCCATCACTACACTTCTTTCTTCCAGAGTAATCAGTTCATAATGACTGCAGTTTTTGACGTTATAGTTTATACACATTATGTTTACAAAATTTTAATTGCTTTTTCGGCTCACGGCGCGAATTTGGTAGGAGGCGGCAGCGACGGCTGTGGTTTATTAACGCTTTGACTTATTGCTACATACATTAGCGTCGAGCGTCAATTGCAAATATAGGATTTTATTTATAAAAGGCCACAAAGTAGCGCTGCAACTTGCAGCGAAATTCGCTACGAGCAAATTTGCACGAGGGTCATGCGCGTTTATTGCAGGCGACCAGAATAATTATACGAGAAAGTTTCATGGTGAAACAAATTATTATATTTTTATCTGCAGTGGCACCCCGGAGGCGATACAGCCGCGTTATTATTAATTTTAAGGAGCTTCGAAACCGACAAATTTTGATTTCAATTTCGTCTAGGTATTCGGGTTGGATAAATTAGTCATAGGTAGAAAACTACCATTTGGCAATTAGAAAAAATACAAAAGTAGAAATGTGGCTTGGAGGTTTTAGTTCCGACGCTTCTCTTTTCATACACATCTGTAAGTCCGCAAGAATTTTCTTATAAATAAATAAATACGCACCCTTAGGGCGCGTTCCCATTTTGTCGTAATGTTTTATTTATCGTTGGATGACTGTCGTGTCTAGCCCGTTCCCACTACATCGTGACGACAATGCGTCATACTCCGGGGCAGAACCACCTAAGCTTTAATAAATTTTAATTTTTTCAAAAATACTTTAAGATTTCTATAAAATTCTAGTCAAAAAATATCTATATATCTATCTATCTGGATTCGTCGTAAACTTGAATTCAATATAGTTGTGCTGCGAAGCATTCTCCCCGGCAGAGCCACCAATAGATATCTATTACTACACATAGTATGAACAAATATATGAAATAATTCTATAACAATTCTATACTGACCTAGCTCTCCAACCCATCAATTTATTTTGAATATACGAACAAAACGACGCCTCAAACTTTCTCCTCAAAATAGTCGTTAAGCGCCTACATAAAAGTTTTTAGCAAGGACATGAAATATCATATTATGTGCACTTCCAGGCGTTTAGATAATTATCGTAAAATAAAATGAATATTTTCTCGTGTTACTGATAAGATATGTACATAATATAAACAAAATAATGGAGCAAACTCACGCACGGAATTTAAGTAAAATCTACTACTCACATTTTTGTAAAATCATCATCATTGTAATTTAATCAGACGAAGAATATTTTGAGAAACAATAAATTCATTTCTGACCATTTATACTATTTTTTTCTTATTCATTCCGGAAACTTATAGTGCGCCCACGTATAATTGTTTGAAGCTGCGATTGTCTGTCGTCACATTTTTGTCGTGGCGTTTTATTTATTATATAGTCATTCTAGCTCTTCCCATTGTCACGACAGTCTGTCGTTGTAACGTCAAAAAAGTCGTGTACTTCAGTTAATCGTGCCGTTCTGTATGTGAACAACTTCATTTAAATATAAATTTAATTTTACATTTTAAACTGCACGACTATCTGTCGTCGTGACATAATGAGAACGCGCCCTTAGCGGGCGGCGCGGGGCTAGATATTGAAAAAAACCTTTAGTGACCCGTATGACAAAAAGACCGCCTATATTTTCTATATACTACTATTTACGAGCAAATGTAATTATATAGTAAATTGTGTCACAAAGGTGGTAGCAGGGAACTATGAACAGAGGAACAACCCGGAACCGAAGGCAAAAGCTTTAATGGTCCGAACGTTTGTAATTGCCGTTCCGCTCGTATAGCGTAGGTATAATGTTTCATCGCATTTACGACGAAGTTAACAAAAAGGAAAATTAGATTTAAAAACGTTATAATTTTTTTTAATATTGAGTGACGGGACGAACAAGTCGTTTAGAAAAGAGCTTTAAATTGCAAATATCTGAGGGGTACTGCCACTGCACCCGTCACCCTGTTTATAAGTCCAATGTGCCTGTAATTTCATCAGAATCCTTACTCTTTAAAACCGGAACACAGTTGTTTAAGAAACACTTCAACATATAATTTACATCCCTTCGGTACAGTCGGTCTACTTTCCCGATCGGTCCACTTGTCCAAATGGTCCACTTTCCCAAGTCGTCTATTGCCTACTTTGCCTACTTTGTAATAGTATAATTTAGTAGAATTAATAGATTAAGAATATGGCAATGTTTAATTTTTATTTTGGTCAGGGAACACTGTTTTTTCTCTCTCTTCTCTCAAAATGCCCTTGTAACGGCAGGTCTAAATTTAAGTTACTTTTGGAAATACAGTCCGCATTAGTAAATGTATTATTTTGTACACAGCAATGCTGACATTACTGCTTGGCGGCAGAAGTAGGTGAGGTGGCAGTACAACCCTGGATGAACTCTTTCACAAGGAGCTCTATTGCTTCTAAAACATTTCCTTGTAACAATAGGTGAAATTACAGGCACATGAGACTTATCAACCTATGTTTCAGGGAGACAGACGCAGTGGCAGAGTCTCTCAGATCTTTGAGTTTTAAGTATATCGAAAAAAACTAAATAAATATTAAAAAAAAATGTCTTTATTGCAAAACACAGGAAAATAGGTACAGAGATGTTCATAACTCCCAAACTAGGATACCCTGTACTATGGGTAGCTAGGTCTTACGTCCGTCAAGTGTGTTACCTAAAAATAATAATAACTAAGTCTTATTACAATAACTAAATAAGTATACTACTCTATTACTTACGTAACGATTAAAAATTTAGAATTTATTTTTGAGCATTTAAATTTTTTGCTACTCTACGACGTACCTTATACAAATTATTAATGAAATAATATCAACTTTATGCTTTTTGAGGCTGCTTTCAGTGGTAACCGCACCAGCTGTGTATATAGGGACAAGAGCACGTCAAGCTTGATACTCAAGATTTAATCCAACTCTATGCAGCTTACGATAAGAAAGGTCCAAAGTACAAAGTGTCAAGCTTGACTGTACGTCCGATCTCCTGGCGAGCGATCGGTGCGTAGAGCGTAGAGTTAAAAATAACTTCGCCCTAGTGCCGTGTGATAAAAATACCGCCTAGTTTGCTGCATTAAAAACTACTGCTTACGAGCAAGTATGTTCAACAATATATTTTATAATATGTCATAAGAGAATAAAATGAGCGCATTTTACGTATCTACGTCAATTGCATGCTTCAGCCAACGTTTCGGAAAACATGTTTGCATACAATATCAAAGGCTCGCTTCGCGGTGTTATACTTTGAAATTGCGACGAAGTTTTCTAAGAAAACACGTAAATTTGCATCTGCGAAACGGGTTTTAGTAACAAATGCGTATATAATAACGTTTGAGCTCTGCTTAGATCAATTTTCGCAATTATACAACAAAATTTACAGCTATTTTCATGAACAAAGTATAAAAATAGATGACGATTCTATTTTTTCATTTAGGCACAACGACTTAGTTTGTACCAGTGCAGGGGACCTACCATAACCTTTCCAAAAACAATCTTATTTCAATGTAAGCTTAAAGTAAGCTTATTATAAAATTTTTCTTACTTGCAATGGCGTGTTAGGCTCCTTGTCATGGGTGCAGTGCACTGGCCAGATCTGTGCAAGGCTCATGATGGCTTCGTTGCAGAATTTCAGGCCCATAACCTCTTCATCTTCACGGCCATACCTATGGAACATGGTACAGTTTTATTACACCAAACAAATACAAAATTAATGTTAATAATACAAAAGGTGAGCAAAGATAATAAATAATAATAGATAGTAGACAACATCACATATTCGTTGCTCTGATCCCAAAGTAAGTAACTAAAGCTTTTTACTTTCGTATTGCATTGATATATTTTTGGGTTCTCTTGCCTCAGCAAGGAATAATGTGTACAGAGCCCTTCATGAGTTGTGAGTTTTCGTTTGAACAAGTTCAAACAGAATTATCTGTTTGTTTTTCTTTTATATAGTTATATTCATATTTTTTAATCGAACATTGGTAATGTATGTTGTGTTCACTATTGTAAGGAACTACACCATGCATTGTTTATTTAAATAACTTGTTATGTATTGTGTAAGTTTCAAGTTATGAAACAAATAGAAAAAAGCACTTGTGTTATGGAAATCGAAAAAAAGTCACAACGCACGGAAAGTTCACGTCTATCCCTTTTAATAATTAAGCATGAAGCGTAATTAGAATTTAATAATTAAATTTTCAGTCTCCTTGCTACACCCTGACTGGGTCATGTACTGTATTAAATTTTATTGCAATAATCTTTTTAACTGACTTCAAAAAGGAGGAGGTTCTCAATTCGACTGTATGTTTTTTTGTATGTATGTTACGCGATAACTCCGGTATTTGTGAATCGATTTTCATGATTCTTTTTTTGTTGGAAAGGGGGTACCTCCGTTGTGGTTCCATTTCATTTTAATTCACCTCTAAGGGTGGCAGTTCACGCATGAAGATTCATTTTTATAAATTGCGCCTGAATTTTACTTAAGGAGCAATTACTTTAATGGTTGATTTTGCTATTCTCCAATTCAAGGCGTTTTCCCTCAATATACTTTGAGTAGTGAGAACCGATTTTTGAAGTCGGTTTTTTTAGTACTCTGTACTGAGATTATTAATGTACATGCGCAATATGGAAATAAATAAATAAACAACGACGGTTCCATACACACTCAGACTCGAGACAATTTAGAAAAGTTAGTTTCTACATTGACCTGGCCAGGGATCGAACCCGGGACCTTAGAGGAGATATCATGAATACCGGTTTAGTCATTACTAAATTACGTAATAAATACGTAGTTTTAATTTGATTTGTTACCTTTTTTCATCTCTTACAAAAATAACATAATATGTTACTTCTGCTTTAATATTTTTGATAAATAAATGAAAAATTGAGCGGTTTACAACTTAGAAAGTGTGTTCGGCATTTATAAAACTTACATAATAATTTACTATAATTTTTCTTACTTCATTCTCCTGTTTTTATTTATTCGGTTTTCGGCCAAATAATAAAAAACAGTAAGCCGAATTCCGGATAGTAACCGGATATTAGTTGCAACTCTACCAAATACTAAAGTCAACGATACATAAAATGTAAAGAAGAGGTAATAAGTAGATAGGTACCCAAAAGAAACGGTCGCCCTATATCCAACCGGACAGACCGTAATTACTGGTCTGAATAAGTAACGTCGCTGTAACGACGTTAGGTTGTTTCAACGCGTATTTCTTCATACGTTTTTTCGGACGAAATAACCTTAATTAGTAACTGAACTACATGAGTAAATAATTGACGAGTTACTGAAGTGTATTAAGGCAATATTAAATTACGAATGATGTTATACATTGTTAAGTAACGAGTAAACGTTGTCCAGGGCTTCAAAACAAACAGTGAGTGCCCTAATGTAATTGAAGGGTCTGTAAACAAGGAATGCAATGTTTGTCTTACGTACTCTTGCGATATGTTCCTGTACTTGTACTCTAGCCAAATTCGATGTAGAATAAATGTAAGTTACTAGCAGTAGAGCTCGTTGTAAAGGCGACTTTCCACGGCCCGTGGCCCGGTGGCGGCCTATTCGGATTCGCCGCTCTGTGTCTGTGAAATCGCGTTGTCCTTCGTTCTTAGTTCGGGCCTCCAACCGAAACTTATATCCGTGCTGGTACGAAGTAGGAAACGTCCGAAACTAAGGGCGTAACTAAAGATATCGTACAACGAGAGTAGATCCTCTGGTCGGTAACTTCAAAAGCGCGTCGTCGACACGCGCGTTCACTAATAAAAAAAAATTATAACAATGTTATCCCTAATGTTTTTTTTTGTATAGAGGAGGGAGATTGCAAACATTTCGAGTTCGAGATATGTCATAAATTAATATGAAATAAAATCTTACAATTTTGTTTCTTTTAATCATCAGTCAATCAATCATTTATTCATTAACAATATACATAATTGTATTTGAATGTCATGGATTTAAATTTAATTATACAAATTAATTAAAATACACAGTCATATGAATTATAAGAAAAAAAAATGAATTAACAATCATAAAATGTCAACAATACAAGTCTATAAAATTGTTATGACTCAAAAAGAACAATTTAAAACAATCAATAAAAAATATAAAATAAACAACAACAATTTATAAATTTAAAATTCTTCTACTGAGTAACAGCATTTTTGTAATAATAAATCGCTAGTATTTTTTTTAATAGTTTTATGTCAGTAATAATCTTAAATTCTACAGGTATTTTATGAAATAATTTCACGGGCTGATATTGGGAGCAGTGCGTCACAATATTTAATTTAGGCTCAATAATATTTTTTAAATTCTTAGTCCTAGTGCCCTCTCTCTGACTTTGCTCTTTATATGTCTCATAGTTTCTTTTCAGCTTTAAAAGTCTTGTCAGCAACACCATGATGTATAGACTTGGTACAGTCAGTATACACAAATCTTTAAAATGAGGAATCCGTACCATAGTGCGAATGGCCCTTTTTTGCAATATGAAAGCACACTCTGTATTATATTGGAAACTGTTTCCCCATATCGCAATGCTATAATGAATTTTGATTCAATCAAATATAAGGCATAACAGGCAGAACTTTCAGTACAGGAGTTTTCTATAGTTGTAAGCTCATATTTCCAATTAAGAAAATGGTCAATATGAATGCCAAGGTTACCCTGTAACCTGTAAAGGGCCCGAAACGTCGGTTTGTTTGAAAAATCAAATTTACGCGATTTCAATCCGGAAAAATAGTTTCATTTCCTATGTGTAACAATCGCGAAAATCTAAGAACTCGATATGGTTTATAAGGTCATTAATAATATAATGAAAAATATCGGTTCCAACACTAATCCCCGCGGAATGCCCTTAATGATTCTTTAAATTTTTAAAGTTTGCATTAGTTCATTATTCTTATCATCAACGTCTTTTATTTCAACAAATTGTTTCCGATTGACTAAATAAAACTTTAAAAGTTCAAGGTTACCGTTTCTTATCCCGTAGTGCTCCAATTTAGCAATTAATAAGTCATGATCCACAGTGTCAATAGCTGCACTTAAATCGAGGAAAAGACTGGCTACCTTTTGCTTATTATTAATTTCTCTCGTGGTATCACCGATTAGAGAGTCTATGGAATCTGCCATTATCTACTTATTATCTAGCAGTAAGTATTAATAGGTATCAAAAACTTAATTATTTTCTTCATAAATCATATATATCAATGGGCACTTTGCAAAGTTTATAATTATAAATGGCCAGGTAAGTATTACTTCTACATAACCCTATCTCCTACTCTTCTAAATACGCTAGCAGGTCGTAGGCAGAGCCAACCTAAACAATGAACATTGACAAAAAATTTTCTTTTCACGTGCCAACATTGGTTGCCTAGCAATATTTTGTTACTAAACATTGTATTTCGAATTTGACTAGAGTGATGTACGGCCTTCGGAACAACAGCACAACTAACATATTTATCTAAATTGAATTACATACATATTCGGGATAAGAAAACAAAAGCCTATTTACGAATTTTTTTTATTGTATATACAGTAAGCATGAAAGACACAACAGACATCAATAATCAGGTTTATTACTATAAAAAGACATATTTGACGTCCATTAGATATTAAAGGATTTTAGAATGGAATAGAACAGAATAGAAACTATTTATTTGCCAGAGTACCGTAATTATACAGGTCTTAAATAAAAATAGGTACAATGTATTCAACCTGCAAGCAGGTGTGCAAGTATTAATTGAATTTAATATTTTGGCCTCCAAAATTAATTGCATTTCAAAATAATATAAATTAGTATTTGTAAATTCTAAATATTCTTGATAACTACGGAAGCAACGTGTCATAAGCCATTTTGTCAATTGTGATTTAAACGTAGGTCCGTGTAGTAATTTAAATTCATTTGGTAAACTATTGAAGATCTTTATGTTGAAGAAATTATTCTCATAAATTATAAAATTTACTAAGTAATGTTCGAAACTGTGCCCTTATTATGAGTTCAATTACTATAATTACTTAATAAATAACACTAAACGCAACACAACAAAGGCGCAACTTACTTTTATTGTAATTTTTAATTCTATTAGAAGTATTAAAAGTCACATTTAAGTTAATTATGTCCTTAATGCGCTGTAATTATATTTTTCTACTAGGTAAGCCAAGCAGTGATGTCAGCATTACTGCGTTCCGGTTGCAACATGGGACTATTCAACTTATGTCTCAGGGTGACAGGCGCAGTGGCAGCGCCCCTCAGATCTTTGCGATTTAAAGCTCTGAGTGGCATTGCAACTGTTATGGACAGGCGTGTATCTGACCATCAGGCGCATGACTTGTTTATCCCGTCACCTGTTATTGTAAAAGAAATAAAAAATAACTTTTTTAAACCTCGTAAATGGCAAATTTTGAATATCAACCGGTATCTTATTATAGAAGCGTCTACATTGCCCCCTAAATGAATTTGCGACTTTGTGTGACAGATACTACCCAGAGTATCTGGAGTGAGTTCTGTTGCTCTGGCACTCATCATCTTCATCAACCCATTTATACGTCCCACTGATGGGCACGGGTTTCCTCTCAGGCGAGGGTTTAGGCCGTTGTCCGTCACGCTGGTCCAATGCGGGTTGGGGACTCCACACGTTTTCCGAAGGTTGTGAACCTTCTTCA